TTCCCGGATGGTATTGAATAGAACAATCATAATCCTTGACCAGTTCGAGCCAACGGCGCTGCCTTATATTAAGCTCCTTCTGCGTGAAGATGTACTGTAGGCTCTTATGGTCAGTGAATATCTTGCAACATCCGCCGTAAAGATAATGTCGCCAGATCTTCAGGGCGTGAACGACTGCGGCTAACTCCAAGTCGTGCGTAGGATAATTCTGCTCATGAGGCTTAAGCTGACGTGAAGCATACGCAACGACCTGTCCATCCTGCATAAGGACACATCCCAAGCCCTGTCTCGAAGCATCGCTGAAGATAGTGAAACTCCGAGAAGGATCGGGGATAGTCAACACTGGTGCTGAAGTTATCCTCCTCTTGAGCTCCTCGTAAACAGTAAAACTGGAATGTACAAGCTTAGCTTAAAGCTTATACTTACTGATTGCATGACTTGAAAATCCAGTAATTTAATACTGAGTAAAAGACTTGATCTGAACTGAAGATACATCAATTCACAATTAAGTGAATTGTAGAATACTGCTGAATGAAAATAGACACTTTTCTGAAAGAAAGTGTTCTACTTGCTACGACATGATCTCAAAACGAAACTCTGAAATATGCTGGTCGTCCTCTTCTGGCTGCTGGCGAATCTCCAATCGGAATGCTGGTGGTGAAGACTCTCTCGGTAATCTCCTAGTGTACTGAGACTCTGGCATGTCATCTTGAATGGAAGGCGTCGGTTTACCATCGTGGCACGATCCGTTGTTGTCGAGTGGCTCTTCTTCACCGCGGCGAATGTCAACCTGTGGTACCTGCAACTTTTTACTCCCTCCGAGGTTAATCTTAACCTCAAGAAGAAGTCCTTCATGACTTAATATCTCCACGATTTCTCAGATTCTTCAGAATTTGAGAATCGAGGCGCTGACATACTGAAAATGATGGATAAGTCTTGTCTTATTAGACAAACTATCCTTGATCTTAACATGACTGGCCTGAATACTCTCATGACTGAATAACCATGACTTGACTCTCACATGACTAAATCATCTTTATCCGAACTCTTAAAACTATCCCGAGACAACTTAAATAGTCGCTTCGAGATTGAAAACGTGATATTTACTGATTTACTTGACTTGATAAGGTGCGACTTCAAGTTTCCAGGTAAATCTGGACTAATGGTCTGTATATCAGACCGCCACACTTTACCCGGCTGAACAACTATTATATGTCGACCTTACATCATGAACATAAACTGTAGATCGTGAACCTGAACTCTGTACTGT